CCTGGGGTCTCTAGTGACCCAGCAGTCAGGAGTCAGTTTACTGTCCAGACTGTAGAGCCCAGAGTCAGGACAGCAGTGTGAGCACCCCTCCTCTCACACACAGCCCTGGGGTCTCTAGTGACCCAGCAGTCAGGAGTCAGTTTACTGTCCAGACTGTACAGCCCAGAGTCAGGACAGCAGTATTAACTGGGGTTGGGGGCAGGATGGCTCTTCCTCTGTGGGCGCTGGATGCTCAGCTCTGCCCAGGGGTGCTGGGAACACGCAGACAATACAACTGAGGCCCAGCAGATGGCAGTGAAGAGCTGAGTCTCCGCTTTGCACAGTTACGAGCAGTGTTGCTGGTTTGGAAGGAGGACTGGACAGAGGGTTGGACAGGTTTGGATGGGGGACAGGACAGGGGACTGGACAGGTCGAGTGTTTTATTCACTGATGAACGACACATTCACTGTTGGTTTGTCCCCCTCAGTATATGGGGGGCTGGAAGTTTACGGATGTGAATTGATCTTTTTGTCTAATCTGTGGCCCCAGGTATTTCTGTGCAGGGCCCCAGGGAACCTCTAGTGGCCAGGCCTGGGGACGAGGTGCTGCTGCCCTGCTCTGTGGACAGCACTGTCCCCCTGCAGGAGCTGGAGGTGGAGTGGATGAGGACAGATCCAGACACCCTGGTGCTCCTGTTCTCCGAGGGGGAGAGTAGGCCAGAGTCCCAGCACCAGCGCTACCGGGGCCGAGCGGAGATCTTCCCTCAGGAGATTCCCAGAGGAAACTTCTCTCTGTGGCTGGCCAACATCTCGGCTGAAGACACAGGAGTGTACAGGTGTGCTGTCCACATGGCGCAGGGCTCCGGTGAGACCACAGTGGAGCTGAAGGAACAGGGTGAGCTGGGAACACAGACATCATCCTCTCTGGGAAACAGGAAGTTGAGTTATTCAGGAAAACACAGAGATACAGAAGTGAAACTGCGCTCTGTGATAAACTGACCACAAAGGAAGGGCAGTGGGCAGTGGCTTTATGCCACAGCTCTGTAGCTGACTGCCCTCCAAACTTCACTCCCACCAACCCCCGTAGAAGCCCTGTACATAGGATGTGGGATTAACCAATAATCAAACTCATTGACTAATGATCACCCAGTGTGTCTATTTACAGTGACAGGGAACGTATTGTTATAATAGTCCTCTGAAGGAGTGGCGTACCACAAGGATCAGTATTAGGACCACAAGCTTCCTTGGTGAAAACAGGGATCCGTATAGATTCTGTTACAGTTTGTAAACTAGAGTTCCCAGGTGGTACTGTACCTCAGCAAGAGGAAATACGTTGCAAGTGCTAAGCCAGAATACTGTTTGAGGTTTTAATGGAAACCACACATGTTTCAGTTACAGTACACCAGTTTATCTCATGGAGAAAACACTCATTAACTCTGTAAGGTTTTAGATTTTTTTACATTAGAAGCTGCAAAGAAAATTGCTAAAAGATCTGGAAAGAATTCACCTGACAATAATTGAATGTAGACCAGAGCTGCCTGCACACAGCAACACGGCGCAGCTAGATACTGTGCAAGAAGGGAAAGTTCTTTGTTGGTCTTTAACCCGCCATTGTGTTGGAAAACCACTTACACACATGAATGTGTGCTCATGTCTACCTGCATCAGCTGCTCGGCTAAACTGTGTGCTGCCTCTTCTGCGCCCCTGTCTGGTGGAGAGTGTTTCCTGTTGATGGCAGTGTTTCCACTGTAGTAAAGCTGAGTGCAGGATCACCTCTCTGCACATGTGTGCATAGTCACACCAGACACAGAAACCTCCTCTGTTTGTCCACTCTTCCAGTTTCTAACAGGGACCTGGAGCCTATCCCAGCAAGTAACTGGTGCAAGACGGGGCACACCCTGGACAGGACACCAATCCATTACAGGGCATACATGGGCAGAAACACACACACTCACACCAGGACCAATTTTCCCAGAAGCCAATAACCCTACCAGGATGTATTTGAATTGTGAGAGGAAACCAGAGCACCCAGAGGAAATCCTCCTGATCATGGGGAGAACATGCAAACTCCACCCATACAGCTCCCCAGGTCTGGAGTTGAGCCCAGGTCCCAAGCAATGCTGACTATTGCACTGCTGTGCCTCTCTTAACCTCTTGTGATCAAGTTTATTGGTTTTGTGTTTCAGAGCGTCTAGTTGTGACTGGAGCTGATCGTGCTGTTGTGTCCTACCCTGGAGGGGAGGTGGTGCTGAGCTGCTCTGTGGACACGAATGTCCCCCTGCAGGAGCTGGAGGTGCAGTGGATGAGGACAGACTCTGAAATCCTGGTGCTCCTGTTCTCCGAGGGGGAGAGCAGGCCGGAGTCCCAGCACCAGAGCTACCGGGGACGAGCGGAGCTCTTCCCTCAGGATATTCCCAGAGGAAACTTCTCTCTGCGGCTGAAGGACGTCAGGACTGAAGACAAGGGGGAGTACATGTACAGAGTCCACACAGACTCGGGTTCCGCAAACACGACAGCAGAGCTGGAACAGCTGAGTAAGTGAGAAGATGTGAAAGTGAGAACAACACCCTGAGTGAACTGCCCTGCTAGTACTGCCCTGGTGTCTGTTCCTCCTGCTCATCAGGAGCATGAAAGGCTGATTCAGACCGGTGAACTGATTACAGTTACTAGCTGATATACCAGCTAAAATATACAGAGAGGCAGCTTCATAAAGCTGCTTATTCTTGGAGAGGCAAACTGTTTAAGTTCCAAAAACAGTTAATTTGTGTTATATTCATCACATGGGTTAATAAAGTCTGTAGGAGAACATGACTGTGATATTATTGAAGTGGTTGTGCTGGAGACTCAGCCCTGTGTGTGTGGCACTGAGCTGAAGCTGAGTGTCGTGATGTTTCTCTCAGCATTCATGTCAGCCCCACTCCTGACTCCACACTCTGACAGCTCTTCCACAGCCATGGAGACACAGCATTGCCCTTGCAGGCCTGTGCTGTAGACTCTTCTGTCTTTTTACCTCCTGTGGTTACTGGGCGAACTGGCCCGGCGCAGCCTCACTCCTGCTGACTGCTCTCCTCTGCTCTTCCCAGGGTTTTCCACAGCTCACATCTGGATCCTGCTTCTGGCTCTTTCTGCACTGAGAGTCGTGATCCTGACCAGTGTGCCAACATGCCAGTTTTTGCTCAAGAAACGTGAGCTCAACTTGTACTGCCCTGAGACCCTCAGTCAGCCTCCTGCTGAGCCACAGTCGAGGTTTAATTGTACTGTGTCATCTGCATCGCCCTCTGGTGTTCTCTTGTTGTAACTGCGCCTCTGGCACTGAGACAAATCTCTGCTCCAAAGAGGCGCCTGTCTGATAGAGGCTGGAACCAAATCACCCAAGAAGCACAAAAAGCAACAAGAAGAACCCTCTGCAGGCACCACTTCCTTACTTGAGCCTTGAACCTAGAACCTACAGCTGCATTATGTATAACTTATTAAAATCAAACCAGAGAGTTTCAAGACCCACTCATAAAGGAATTTTAAACTCAGATTGTCAGGCAGGTGTGGTTGTGTCTCTGGTCCTGAACTTTTCCCTGGAAATCAGAAGCAGCCAGGCTACTGCAGTTTGTACTTCTGTAGACCTGTTAATCAGCACAATGCTTAATTTAATAGTCAGTATTTAATAGTCAGTATTTCGTCAATCTCAATGACATTTTAAGTGTAAAATTGTATAATACCCAGCACACATCTGCAGTAATAAGGACTATGAGCAGAATATCACCACAGACGGTTCAGGAGAAACCCACAGACAGAGGGAACCAGCTCTTATTCCCAGTAGACAGCTGACGTCATGTCCCAGCATGCACTTTGCAGATTGAAACAGCTTTATTCATACCAGTGTGGTGAACACCGAGCTCCAGGCACATCTTCTGCATATCACCAGACATCCGAATTCCTTATACTGTGGAATGTTCCTTTATCCAGTGGGCTGATGAAATAAACCCCTTAATATATTATATTAATTAATTCCAAAGCACATTATACATTTTCACATTATACTTGTAAGTTTTTCCCACTAACTGTCTAAAACCCTTCCTTTCTCCTGTCCCAGGTGAGACCAGCTGGCAGTGGTGCTGCTGTCTGGTGAACTGTGTTGCTCCTGGGCTCCTCTTGTCTGTAGCCTTTATCCTGTGGGGCCTGACTGAAGGTGGGGGAGTCTGTCAGGTCCTTATCCACGCTGTGATCTTGGGCTCTTCCCTGTTCTGAGAGCTCTGTGTGTTTTGAAGGTTTTCTCCAGGAGTCGGTCACCTGCGCCACTGTCAGTGTGCTGAGGATCCTGCTGGTGTCAATGATGGCCCCCTATTCACACAGGTATCCAGGTGAGAGCAGAGCAGCTGATCTGGGACATGAGACTGAGTTCTCACATGTGTTACTGGTGGGTCGAGAGCCATTGGGAGGTAAACTCTTCAGCCCACTTGAAAGAGCTCCTGTACCCCAGGTACCCAAGTGTGCCACTGTACCCCAGCTACCCCAGCAGAGCTACCCCCTGTGTCACTGTACCCCAGCTACCCCAGCAGTGCTACCCCCTGTACCACTGTGCCCCAGCTACCCCAGCAGAGCCACCCCCTGTGCCACTGTACCCCAGCTACCCCAGCAGTGCCACCCCCTGTACCACTGAACCCCAGCTACCCCAGCAGAGCCACCCCCTGTGCCACTGTACCCCAGCTACCCCAGCAGAGATACCCCCTGTGCCACTGTACCCCAGCTACCCCAGCAGAGATACCCCCTGTTTCACTGTACCCCAGCTACCCCAGGAGAGCTACCCCCTGTTTCACTGTACCCCTCTCTTCTCACTTGAAGTCAAACACTGAAACTCAGTTTCTGATTTTGTTGTGAACTAAGTACAGACAAAACAGATTATCCAGTTCTTACTGCCTTTGACTGGGAGCATTTACGTTTCTGTGTTTATTTGAAAGACAACACAAATTATAGTGTTGATGTATTGTAATTAGAAAAGAATGAATATTCAGTTGTTCAGAACTGAAGAATAATATTCACAGGCAGTGGAATTTGCTGTGCTAAATGAACAGTTTGTGTTCTAATTTCTAAATCAATGGTATTTCTGCATAATGTCATTTCTGTATTATTTTACTGTCCATAACATCAGTGATACTATAATGCACTTTAGAATGTGTGAAATGTTATGATTTTGTATTTATCAGTTTATTTAAAGGTACTGTAGATAATTCTTTGTTTTCAAAATATCACAGTCTGTACAAAGAACAAACATTAGTGTAATGATTAATATCTGGTCATTAATAAATGATGTAATACCAGTTTCTAAATGATTTTAAGATTTGTTTTCAAATTACAGCACATAATTGCTATTTTTTGTTCTTTTTGTTTTATTGTCCAGTTGCTCTCATAGTATATTTTAAAATTAGGGCACTACAGTACATCCAATTTACAAAGCAGTTGTCTGGAGTTTATGTGCATGCTGACTGATGTCATTCCTCGCTGGGATTTCTATAAAAGGTAAAGATGTTCTCTTCAACTATAGAATAAAATATTACAGTTTTATAAAATATATCAAACATATTTTTTCACCCATTGTTTCAACAAAAGTAATAACTTCCAGGGGCCTGTGGTGAACAAAAACACTTCATTTCCTCTGTAGACACTCTTATACAGTAGGTGACTCTTCAAAGCTCTTCAGACTGTAGTTGATGTAGAGCTGGCCAGCTTCATGTCTCTGTGGGAGCTTCACGGTCACTCAGTGTTAAAAGGAAATGAAGGCAGTTTCACTCATCAGGCTATTTTTTCTGTATCTGAATGATCTCAGCAGCTCATCCAGCTGTTTCTTGAAAAACCAACAACAAGGCTGGATAGCTTGTTCCAGACACCCGCAAACCTCGGTTTTATAGTAGTTTGTACTTTGGTTTGATTATCGCTGTTGCTATTGAAGACGTCCACTGGGTTAACTTTGGCAGTGAAGATTATGTGTCAGGTCCCCTTTTACTCTCTGTTACTAAAGAGACTCAGTTCCTCCAGCTTGTCAGTGTGGGACACTCCGTTCAGACTAAAGAGACTCAGTTCCTTCAGCCTGTCGGTGTGGGACACTCCATTCAGACTAAAGAGACTCAGTTCCTCCAGCCTGTCAGTGTGGGACACTCCCTTCAGACTAAAGAGACTCAGTTCCTCCAGCCTGACAGTGTGGGACACTCCCTTCAGACTAAAGAGACTCAGTTCCTCCAGCCTGTCAGTGTGGTACACTCCCTTCAGATTTAACCTGCCTGCACTTCCTCATTCTACCAACTGTGTGGTCTCAGGACTTATTATCCTTATTGGAGGTACATTGAAATACATTGATTAATTGAAAAAAAGCATTAAAAACAAAGTCTACAGCTGCTAACATGGTTTTGTATAACACAGTTCTATCAACCTTCTCATCTCATTCCTGGTTTTTGTTCTAGCAGCTTGGAGGACGTTTTCTGAGAATCCCTGTCAGAGATGCCCTGGTGAGTTCACTGCTCTTTTCTCCACCTGTGGACAGAAGTGTGTCTTGTCCAGGTGGGGTCACAGGCTTGCAGACAGCAGAGCCCCTAGGGAGGTTCATGGGGAAATAGCTCCCATTCAGATGGTGTCCAGTACTGTTCCAGAGAGGACAGGACACTGGTACAATATGAACACATTGGGGACAAGCGGATCTAAACTGGGATTTTCACAAAAGGCTCTAATAATACTCATTTTCCATTTAAAAACATGATTGACATAATAATAATAATAATAATAATAATAATAATAATAATAATAATAATAATAAACTTTATTTTATATAGCGCCTTTAAAGGTGGCTTCTCAAAGCGCTTTACAGGATGACAATAAACAATAAATAAGAAGACTACAACAATAAATAAGAAAATTTCACAAGATAGGACACAATAATTACAACAAATTTGAAGAGCGGAGGTTGCGAGGTGGGGAGTAGGGCGATAAAAGTTCAGACAGGTATTGAGGTGCCAACATGGTACTACCCTACAAATAAACAATATTTTAATTTTAATAACATCAATCTAGTTCTTGCTTCTTGTGTCAATTGAACAAATTAATAGTTTTTCAATTCAGTCTCACGAACGACTGAAAGTATTCGGACAGGGAAATGTTGTTGGTCAGATGGGTGTTTGATGGGAAATTAATCTCATAAAAATGCTGCTGATTGATGCATCAAAATCCAGAGTTCCTAGAAGACCTATCAGAATTACTAAGATCAAGACTGACTAAGATTACATTTCAATATATAAACCTCTCGTTGACAAGAAGAACATTAAGGCCCAATTAGACTTTGCTTTGAAGAGAAAGACTAGCTGGGAGACCTTTAGAAAAAAGTTGAATGGAGAGATGAGACCAAAATAAAGACTCAATAAAGATGAAGGTGAGGAGGAAGATGAAGGTAGTAGTTGTTGAGTGGAGCTTCATCATGCATCATATCAGAATGACTCAGTGCGCACACATGCAGTGCCAAACATATTGGGATTTATGTAGAAGAACATATTTCGGTAGTTATTGGAGAGCACTTCGTCATACAGTATCACGATGGCCCAGAGCACACAGGCAGATCAGAGCAGAAGACTCTTGGACTGAACAAGACTGAAATCCAGTAGATCCTGAAGTCTCCCACCCCAGGAAACAGCAAGAACTGCAGGCAGCTACAGCAGAGGCTTACAGAGCAGCTCAGTGATCACATACAGAGCTGGGGGAGCTCATGGGTCACAGACTTCATGCAGGTCTTGTCTCAGAGGGATCTGCAGACACACTCTGACAATGACTTCATGAAGGTGCCCCAGTACACATGGTCACAAGAAACCACTGGGTTGAGTACAGAGTATGTTTGTGTTCTAATATGTTCAAAGGTTAGAAGGGAATTACTGAAGAATAAAACACATTACATTGTACTTATAATTCATCTTAATCTCATGGACATCAATAATAATCTCTTGATTGAGAACCAAAGTAACAGTTTTTACCTTGATGTCCCACTGTAGTTGTTGAATGAGACTGTGACTGTCTAACAAGTTACGAGGACAAAATCACTAGTAGAGTATAAGCACACATTCAGAACCCAGAGTCTATATTGGCTTTAGCCTCTGCATATTCCTAATCTCTGCTCTGATTGCAGGTTGTATAGCAAGGAGTGCCTGCTGTCAACACCTCCTGCGATCAGGTAAGTTATACTGCTCTCCTTCCCCTCCTGGCTCAGTCATTGGACTGCAGTGTTCCAGCACAGTGTGGAAAATACAGCCTTACATTCCAGTGGGCAGGCCTGTGCTGTCTGTCTGAGTCCAGGTTCACTGTAGGAGTAAAGGTGAGGTTAATCAATACCACGCTCTGCCACACTTCCTTCAACCCCAAGAGCTGCCCAGATCCATCACTGGGGGTTTGTCTGTCCCAGTACTCAAGAGGCTCCTCGCTCAATTGTGGAATTCCTGACGATCACCTGACCTACCTTATGGATTAATCCCAACACACAGTGGTGTCTTCATGGTAGTGGCTCAGGAGAAGACAGTCTCTGTCCCTGAAGACCTTCTGCACTGGTCTTCACCTTCACTGTTTCTCCCTCCTGCTGAGGACAGCATAGGCAGTGAAGCCCAGAAAGAGGTTTCTTCCCTGGGCCCTGAGGAGAGGAGCCAGTCTGCTCCCAGCTCCAGGGACACAGGGACACCTACACAGTGATACAGCAGGCTGGGGGTCTGTGGATCTGCAGGAGGGAGAGCAGTGATAAACGAGAAACTCGCTTTAAAAACCACCAGAGTGAATCAGTAAGTAGCTGCTTGTGTCTCACTGCTGGAAGTATGAGGAATAAGATGCAAGAACAGGAGTCAATGTGATATGACTGGAAACACAGCGAACAGAGACCAGTGGAGATGAATACAGCTCTCTGCATACAGTACATCAGTGATCACTGCACAGCTCAGAGGACAACTGGAACTCCTCATCACAGTGTCCTGAACACCGCAAAAACACTCCTCTTCAACTGGCACAGCGATGCAAGAATGTGGCTTTCTCTGGTGGAGAAGGACTCAGTTGTGCAATACTGGAGACACAGGAAGTGGTTTCTTGATGCCTGTGTTGTAGCAGCCATGAGATGGACCTTTCATTGTTCTGAGTGTCACCAGCTCTTGGGGTCACTGAGTGATTACTGCTACAGTAATTATAATGAAGGATGAGTGAGTGGTTGAGATATCAGAGCCTTTTGGTTTGGTTGGTTTTCATTCCTAATAAACTCATCTATTTAACTTATCAAACAAAGCAGTTCAGATTTCAATTCATGCAGATCAACCTCACTGCTATCTTGAATTTGGGTTGTTAAGCATTGTGTTAATTATCACATTAATAAACACTGAAGACTGCACCAATTTGTCTGACAATCACACACAGCTGCGGTACTTTAAGAATTCACTGTGCAACCTGACAGTTTTACAAAGTAGTGCAATCCTACATCAGACTCATCAGAAATCTGAAACTCAATACTGTGCTGAAGTCCGCGGTGCACCTACTGACACCTTGTGCATTCCAGATGCCTGCATCTGTATAGGTGCCTGGTACAATACTGATGATGATGTTGAGTCATCATAAGCTGGTCAATATGGTCTTGTCTTCCAGCATAATGATAATGTTAGAAATGACACATGGAGGCTTGTCCAAGCTTTCCAGCACAGAACAGCACTCACACAGCAGGCTAACCCTTTAGGGTGTTGAGCTCGGTGAGGAGGGGCTGCACAGCTGTGGTCCTGGCTGGGACGCAGGGAGGTGTGAGCTCTCCCTCTCGCTGGGGCGTGGGGAGTGCACTGGGCCTGAGCCTCTCTGGAGTCTGGAGCTGGGGGTTAAGTGACCTCAGCTGTGGAGGAGACAGAGCAGCTCCTGTCTGTCCACGTGCTGCTGAGAGCTGCCTGACTGAGACACAGATACTCTGCATGACTCCTCTCTTCTCTTTCTCTACAGCTTCCTGTTTTGGTTTGATGTTCAGTATTGGATTCATAGATGGATTCTATTTTGTTATTACTACACAAACAGATCCAATAAGTAAGTACTCCAGTAAATCTTTCACATCTGTTGATAGGTTCCAGGTTTCTAATTTAGAAAGGGCTCAGGAGTGGAGGAGTAAGTGAGGTTCGTGATTGTGTTGTGAAGAGTTACAAAGGGAGGCCCATATACACTAAAGCCTGTGAGGAGTCAGTGATCCTCCTGGTCATTAGGGGCTGAGACTCCAGACCCTGTCCAGCTGGGAGATGGAGGCTCTGTAGTTGGGGTTAGATATCTGGGCTGTGATGGGTCTGATCCTGTGGTGACCTGACGCCTGTGTGCTGATGGGCTCAGAGGATCACCTGTTGTGTTCAGGAATGCTGCTGCTGATGTGTGTGTTGATCAGCATGTTATTGAGGACTGCAGTCCTTGTGAGCTGTTGCTCTTGACTACAGTTTTCACTGGGAGTGTGAAGAAGTCTGGAGGACACTGTAAATGTCTGTGAATGGTCATGTCCAGGAGGACAGTACTCATGATTCTGGCAAACCTGTAACTACAGAGTATGTGACTCCAGGGGTCTTTATAAATGAGTAAGTGGGGTAGTTTCCCTCCTGTGTTAATGAGATGAATACTGCAGCTGTACACCTCTGTACTTCACAGACTCGCAAAATTCACTTTATTGAAACTTGTTTTCTCTGTTTTTCATTGTGCAGAATACATAACTGGACTGGCTGTAAGTGCTGTAGCTCTGTTTGTGCTTGTGCCCTTTAAGGAGCGGTGTGGTCTCTCGGGAGCACGTGCATGTAAGTGGAGTTGTGTCTGTTGTTCACCTGCTGGGGAGGAGATAGAGTTCCTCCCAGACAAGTCATTGCAGAGCTGCAGTCCTCTGGCACAGGGCTGCTCAGAGAGGGAGAGGGGGGAAGGCATGACACCATTCTGCATGGGCACTGCTAGAGACAGAGCAGAACAAGCAGGAGCAGAGCTGCTCAGTGTGAATTGTCACTGTGCAGTAATTTGCCATTGAAGCCAGGATTGTAGCTCCTGGCAGAGCTCTTTCTGTATCATTTAAGAGTCATTATTCAGAGTCTTAACTGAAGTGCTCTGACTGACAATTACATCCATAATGTAATCTTAGTCAATTAGACCGATATCTACTGTAAAACAACTGTAGTACAATAGACCTTTAATGTTTATAAAAGTCTGATTCATTGATGTAGAGTTTTATATGAGCTGATGAAGATCATTATAACTGTGACACTATTGTATTGAACTGTGTGTAAGTGGATCATGAGCTCTGGCTGAAACATGAATCCCAAGCTCCATGTAGAACGTTTGAACTAGACTGAGATCATTCATGAGAAGGGCTTTGTTTGTCTCTGTGTTGTGGAGTAGTGGTGTGTGAAACATGAATGAAAAGTCCTAATAGATTTTTCCTCTTTCAGCTTTGTGTCACAGACTTGTTCTTGTGGCTTTGCTGACAGTTTTAATCACATTCATGTTGTTTTGGCTGAACGAGGCTCCAGAGAGTGACAGAGGTGTGTAAGAGTGTCTGGTCTCTTGGGGCTCTGGGGGCTCTGTGGTGGCTCAGCTGTGTGGACTGAGCCCTGGGCTCTGGGTGCACCCTGGACATCTGTGGTCACATCTGTCATTAGCCTGGACTCTATGAAGGCAGATGCACATCTGGCCAGGTGGAGTTTACAGTGTGGCAAGCATTTTAAGCTTACCTAAAATCTGTATAAATCATTTTGTATTATAAAACGACTTCAATCCACTATGTGCCTCAGTGATGATATAATTTGATTACAGGACGACTCGGCGGATGTGTGAATCAGCATTTCTCGTCATTCTGATTGGTCTGGAGGTTTTTGAGCATCTCAGCAGAATCCCTGGTAAAGTATAATATATTGAGCTCAGTACTCTGGTCACTGGTACAGTACAGTGTGTTGAGCTCCGAGCTCTGTTCAGTAGTACAGTACAGTGTGTTGAGCTCTGTACTCTGGGCACTGGTACAGTACAGTGTGTTGAGCTCAGTGCTCTGGTCACTGGTACAGTACAGTGTGTTGAGCTCTGTAGTGTTGTCAGTACCTGGATCAGTTTTCCCAGCTCTGCTGTCTGTGTTGCAGCCCGAGCTCAGGTGGCTCAGGTGGGGGTGTACGTGCTGGGGTCCTCAGTCCTGCCTGTGGTCAGTGCCATTGCTCTCACTGCAGAGCTCATCCTCAAGGCAGGTAAGTGACCCGTCCAGCTAAGGACCCACAGGACAGGCTCCTCTGGGCTCCTGTGCTTGAAAACGGCTCCTACAGTGAAGGAGACATCAGTGTGGAACAGACATGTAGCAGATTCTACCAGCCTGTAGCTCTGAATGTATGTAGAGCAGTTTGGTGATCAGTCACCCCCAAACACCTCCAATCAGTCCTCAGTCTGGGACCCTGAGCCACAGGCTGAGTTTCCTCTGCTACTCTCTCATACTGTCTCCTTCTGACACGTCTGCAGACACTCAGACATGCAGGAGAATCTCACATCTCAGTGGATAGAAGGACAGTGTGTTATAACAAGGTCTGATTTTAAGCTCCAATGCTGTTTCAGAAAAAGGCCGCCGCACTCTGACAGACCTGCGCTTGGTAGTCTTGCCCTGTCAGATCCTCCTCGTTGTCTGCTGGCTTGTCTTGCTGATGTGTGCGGACTGTAAGTACCTCAGACATTCTGCACCAGCTACTGCCCTCTGATCACTGTGGGCTGTAGTCCACTGTCACCACCAGTTTGTTCTGAAATCACACAAAGTGTCACATTGTGTAGAAATGTGAGCAACACAAGTCTAACTATGCAGGAAAAGTCTGAAAGTCTTTTTTGTAACATTGGGCTTGTCCACTCTTTTCCAAAGGAAAGAGCACAGTTAATGCATCATGTTTTATGGATATTATCATCATCACGAGCTCAGTGTATTTGACCTTGGAATGTCTGTGGGGCAGTAGAGTCCAGGGTTCACTGCCAGCTGTGCCCAGCTGTGTGTTGAGAGTGGGGCTGTGTTGTGCTTCAGGACACACAGCTGTGGTCTGGTCCTGTACTGTTGAAATCTGACATCTCACATTTTATTTCCTGCTTTGCCCCTCCAGATAAGGAGGAGAAAAACAGGTGAGTAGAGTTTCTCATGGTATAGTAAGCATTTATCTTCACTTTATAGTGTTCATAAGGCAGTGCTTTTAATTCTGAAAGTGTTATTTATCACTGTGCTGTATTTAGGTCCATTTCCTTCTCAGCAAATATTCTGTAAGCAATTAAAATTAATCTTAAAATCAATCTGTGTAATTGTACCCAGACTAGTAACTTAGCTTAATCAGAGACTTTAGCTCTGTATTAGACTAACATAAAAATATAGATTTACTGATAAAAACATAGGTTTAATGACCAAATCAAATTATACATCCGTTCTAATTTACTTTAAAACCATATTAAAATATACATATAAAAGCTTGTTAAAAGTCTTGTTACATCATGTCTAATTTTTTCTCTGAGATCACAAAATAAATCTCAAGAGCCATCAGGACAAAATACCCACAATACACACGAACAGGTAGGTGGGCTGTTTCTTCAGTTCAGATGTTCCTCAGACAGACTGGTTAGAGGGGAAACTAAGGTTTACTAAGGGAACAGTTAGGATTATCATCTCTCTGTAGTGGCTGATGTGTTTTCTGACTGATCCTGTTGTCACAGTCCAGTCCTGAGCTCAGTCCACTCTCCCCAGAGTCACAGTCCAGTCCTGAGCTCAGTCAACACTCCCCACAGTCACAGTCCAGTCCTTAGCTCAGTCAACACTCCCCACAGTCACAGTCCAGTCCTGAGCTCAGTCAACACTCCCCACAGTCACAGTCCAGTCCTGAGCTCAGTCCACTCTCCCCACAGTCACAGTCCAGTCCTGAGCTCAGTC